TTTAAAATGTTGACCGGTTAGTCAGCGATTCTTTTCCACCTCCCTGCCACTGACAGATGGCTCCCCCTTAAAGGCACCAGCATCCGAGTAACGTACGGCAGTGTCTCACAGTGTTTTAGAACAATTATGAGCCTGCAGGCTCCCGAGGATGCCGAAGCAGATAATTCTAGTTATTGGTTAAAAGCAATTGCAGTCTTTGCCCTGCGTGACATGGGTATTAGTTAAATGTCCCATGAGAACGTTCTCACTTTTGTCTGGGGTATTTGCTTTCACGGTAAAAGGTGAAAAAACCCACCACTGTGACGCTGCCTCCGGCAACTGTTCTCCGTGCACTGTCAGTCATCCCACCATCTCTCCAGGTCTGGCCTTGCTGATGGGATCTCATCCGTAGCAACTGAAACGCAACAGCAGGCTCTTTGTCATTTTTCAAATAACATCTTTGGCATTTGAGAACATACTGTGGCATTTGTAACCTTAAATATCCGTGCTCATGATCTAACTTTGAAAGACTTGCGTTATTTTCCTTTTTGCAATCTGAAGTGGATCTAAAGTTGTCTTCGTCAGGGTAGTAGATAGTAGTTGCGCTGTTTGACAGCCTGTCATGTTTGTTGAATTATGTGTGCTGTGTAATGCTCTGTTTTGCTGTGGAGGAAAGGGTTGTTCATGGTTTTTGTATTAGAAGACGGGCCAAGGGTATGACTTACATTTGGAAGAGGCTGAGATTTGTGATGGGAGTAGGGCTGCACAGTCTAGGACTGGCCCCAAGAAATTATTATTGTGTGTATTTTTGCAGTGCCTAGAAGCTCTGTCTCAGACCAGGACTGTGTGGAAAGAACAATATAAGCAATGAACAAAGAATTCCTAAAAAACAGCCCTTGCCTCAAGGGGGTTATGGTGTAAAGAGCAAAGAAGAGACAAAACACTGATCCCAGCAGGCTGCTAGAGAAGACACTGTGATGCTAGTTGGTATGGTGGACGCTACCTTAATGGCAGAGAGCAATTCCAGCAGGGCAGAGTTATGACCATCTATTTTCTTCCTTAGCTTTTGGTAGTTGTATAGATATTCTGGATCCTAAACACCAGATATTTTGAAGGTAAACAGAGAGATTGCTCTTAACTCCGTCATGTTAAGAACCAAGCGTGTACAATGGAAAACACGTCTGACAGGCTTGTGGAGTCTGTTACCTCGAATTCTCAGGTAGTGAGCATTGGAAGAAGGTACAATTACGCTTTTTTTATATTCAGGTCCTTGCTATTAAGTGGTTTGTCAGTCTTTCTCCATCCTTGGTAGAGCCCAATACAGAATCAGGTGGGAACTTTTAAGTAAAGACTGTGCTAACAAAGGACTTTTTTTCCTTTTTTTTTTTTTTTTTTCCCCTCCAGCAATGAAATCTAAACTAGCCACGATTGCCAGCGTGCATGTCTACAGCATCCAGAAAGCTTTGCTCAAGGACAGTGGGCCGCTCTACAACACAGACTACGATATTGTCAAAACAAACCTGCACAACTGCAGCAAGTGAGTTGCACCTTGGTTTTATTTCTTATGCTGTGTGATTTGAGACTGATGAGATGTTGCTGCGCAGCGCGCTTCAGCAGAAGTCGGTGGTTACCAGATATGCATGGATTTTTAGAAAGCTAGAACAAGATACCTTCTCAGGCAGCGCGTTGGTTGATTGTTTCATAAACCGAGCTATCTCCAGCTTATGGTTGGTTCGCTTGCTCCGTTACTCCAACAGGCAGACTGTTCCAGTACCTTTCTTCTCTGACGGCTAGAAGCCTTTTTCTAGGTTTCTAGAAGGCCACGCTTCATCGTGACCATTTTTATCCAGTTCTCAGTCACACAGGAAGAGTATGTTGAAACAGACTTACAAAACCGTGAGTGATGTGCTCAGCAAAGCGCTAACGTGAGCTTGCCTTCTGTTTTGTGAGACTCTGTTTTCATCTGCTGGACTCATCCCCCTCTCTGAAGATGCCTTACAGGAACTCGTTCTCTCTCTATGAGAGCCTGAGGTGTAGGGGAAGCATACAAAACAGACCAAGCAGCACAAATGCCCTTCGTGGTTGAATGAAAGAAAGGTTGTCCTGGAATTCAGAGGGCCTTCGCTCTCCAGGGGTCATTTTCTCTCCTCCTGCACGGTGCCTGGCAGCTGTGGCTTTTCATTGATATGTTGTTTCCACCACGACAGCTTCAGCTTGATGTAATCAGTACGTACAGTGCCATGACCAATCTGGTTTAGAAGGGGGATGCCTGAATGTTGTGTCATAGAAAGAGTATAGAATCTGAAAGCAGAAACGTAGCCGTCTTCAAAAAGTTGATGAGAGAGTGGCTGAGATAATAATGCCCTAGAAGCTGTGTGTTTCAAGTGTGGATGTCAGTACCATGGTAAGTGCTAGAAAACCCCGCTTCAACGAAGACACGTGCCATAGGTCTGGCTGCAGGTGCCTTGTTCCAGTCTGTTTACTCTCCAGCACCCCTGCATGGCGATTCTCTTGTCTTAGAGGAGTCTGCCTTTCAGACTTGTATGTCCAGGAGGTTTAGATAATTCAGATTCGGAAATCTCTCTCCAAAGCTGATGTTTAAATTCTGGCCTGGCTTTGGAGCAGAATTTCCCAAGCAAACTAAAAAAAAAAAAAACAAACAAACCCTCAGCTTCTTCATTTGTGACCTGGCTGAGCTAAATTCAGACTGACTGTATTCCCTCTCCCTTGTCAACTACAAGAATTGTCTCTTACACCTGGGGCAGAATTCCTGCAGTACCCATAAAAGACCTCTGTTTAACTATGTGCGTGTTTATAGCAAACAGAACCCCCTGGCTCCTTATATTCCCTGTCAGACCGTGTATCTTGTAAGCTCTGAGGCAAGGATCCTTATCCCGTCTGTGTTTGTGTGGGACCTCTTACACTGCGAAGACGGTGGAGGTGGCTAGGTGTTGTACTAAAACAACTAACTGGATTTAAGGCATGTTGCTCATGTCACCTCTCCAAGCGGAAGCAGCTCCTTGCTTGCAGAGCGTAGCCCAAACACTGCTTATTTTTTTTTTTTTTCAGGGATTATTTAGTGAATTTTGGGTCAAGCCCATAAGCTATAGTCACACAGCAGCATTAAGGCAAGCTAACTTCCCAAGCACCTGGAATGTGCGAGGTTCAGATGTGCTTGCTGCACAGTCAATATAACCATTGGTGATCAAACGTTATTTATCAGGAGGGTTGATGGCGTTGCTTATGGGAGTGCGGGGAGCAGGAGTGAAAGCTGTCTAGAGCGCGGTGTCGAAAACAGATTGAAAGCATAAAAGAAAGTAGGTCTATTTTTCTTCAGCGTCTTCTTTCCTTCCTTTAAAGGTTTGGAAGTCAAGGGATTGCTGCTGCAGCCTAGAAATGCTGTCGGGATGGTGTTGTTTTGTTAATACATTACAGTTCCTGATCTGAGTAGAAGTGGGCTGTCCACAAGCCACTGATGCTGAGGGGCAGAAATTAATTGGCAGAAGACTGGTTTATTTCTTATGCAAATAAAACTACGCTGTGTAATTCAGTGGATTGGAAGGCGTGAGTCTGTGCTCTTTTGTGGCGTTTCTGTAGGAAATCTGGAAAGCCTCGCCTGTGATTTGCACAGTGGGGAGTAGAGTTCAGTTATTTTTGGGTATTGCTATTCCTGACTGTCAAGAGAATTGTACTGTAACTGTGAGCACATAATTTAGTTCTTGTATCTCCGTATCCCCAAACAATCACGTTTCAGACTGTTACAAGCTGAGATGTATCTCTGTCTACTAGTGATTACATGGAAATGACTTTATATAGTTAAGTCGGAATGTTACGGGTATTTTCTGAGCCATTTAAGTAGTTCAGCCTCAGTTGGGATTTACCTGCATGGCCGGTACGATTGTGGCTGCTTGTTGCAGCAGTAGTGGACTCTGTCAAAGCATCCGAAAGTTGTAAACATTTTAATCCTCAGCCAGCCATACAATTTACGCTGCAAACTTTAGAGAGCGTAACCTGTTTAGGAATAAAATGCAGTCTGTTCCACCCCCAGCCTGGGTGTGGAGACGGGCTGTTCACCCCCATGAAATCTGAACAGCTAGTTTAGCATTTGAATGCTCTGGCTCTTGCTGACGGGTTCAGCTGATCTTTTCAGGAGAGGTTTGCATCGCTCTAATTCTGTGCCAGCCTTTCTCTCTTGTCCCACGAACAAATTAAATTGCTCTTTTTCCCATAACAGGAGAACACAGGACCAGAGAAGCAAGGCGCTACCGGCGAGGAAACAGAGGTGAAAAACAAGAAGTTAAAAGGCTAATTAAATTTTTCACTCCATCACACAGGTTTAGTGCCATTCACTGTGCCGCTGCGGTCCCCAGGACGTCGGCCGAAGTTTCTCAAGCACAGACATCTCTGCAGGCTGGTTCCCAGACACAAAGTGACACGAATGCTGTCAGCGTACCTGCGGTCAACGGCCATGGTCCATCGACCGCTAAACAGCCCTCGCAGCAGCCCAAAGGGATCATGGGAATGTTTGCAGCAAAAGCAGCTTCCAAACCCCAGGACACAAATAAAGAAACTAAAGCAGAGGCTAAGGAGGCCCCAGGTGTAAGTTACCTCAGACCCTTTGGCAGCCCTCTGGGTTAATAGTTTTAATGAACCAGCTTCTATCAAAACAGCGTGGCCAGCAGGAGCAGGGCAGGGACCGTGCCCCTGTGCTGGGCACTGGGGGGGCCGCCCCTCGAGTGCTGGGGTCAGGGTTGGGCCCCTCCCTCCCCGAAGGAC